GGACATAACATGTCTCGGTTCTCTTGTTTGTTTTTTTTTGGTACCGGGGATCAAACTCCGGTCCTCGAGCTTGCGAGGCAGGCGGCAGAACCACTGAGCTAAATCCCGGCATCGGTTCTCTTCACTCCCCTTCCCCTCCCTCCTCTCGGTCCCCTTCCCCTTTGGGTCCCATATAGGAGGGACACGTGACGCTCAGGCCTGTGTGTCTGCTTCATGTCACTCAGCGTTTGGTCTCGGAGGTGCAACTTGCTTCCTCATCTTTTCCATGGCTGCCTGGCATCCACCGGGTGTGGCATCGTTTCTCCACCTGGCTTCTAACGCCGGGCACGTGGGCTGTCTCGAGTCTCCCGGTACCAGGGCAAAGAGGAGAGGACACTGACCTCCATGCGGAGGTGCAGACGGGACACACTTTGTCCAGTTTCCGGTCCTGGCTGGAGCCTTTGTTGCTCCCCACAGGCCAGAGGAAGCGACTGCAGGATCTGAGGGCCTTCTGCAGGGTGACCCAATTTGGAGAACGTCTTCTAAGTTCTGACAAAGTATGAACGTCCCCACAGAGGTGACCTGAGGTGACGTGGCCCCCCGAGTGCCAGCTACTTCCAGGCCAGCTCTGGAGTGATCGCCCGCTCAGCCCCTGCTCCGGTTCTGGTGCCCTTCACGGCAAAGCTGCAGGCCCCAGAGGCCTCCGGTCCCAGGTGAGGGACTCTGAGCCGCAGAGAACCCTTCCGGTCAGTTCCCTGCTAAAAGCGCTGGCAGGCGAACAGTTTTGGAAACTCGTTCTCGTGTTGCTGGGAACAGCTTCCAGTGGCTTCAAGCCAACAGCCCCACTTCCTCCTCACGCCAGGTATCCTTGGGGATGCCCAGCGTGGATGAGCGAGGGGCATGGCGGGGACACAGACGCTGGCAGTTCACCAGCGTGGGAATCCCGAAGGTCCTCAAATCACATGCGCAGCACTCCAGGTGCAAGTGTGGGTTTGTTCAAGGCCAGAGGCCAAGCGATTACGCACCCCCGTGCAACCTGCAGTCCCTATGTTGTAACTAAGGACAAAGACTCGGGGAGGGCAAGGAACTCACCCGCCCACCCAGGTCACAGAGGAGTCAGGATTTGAACAGGCTTTGTCGCGGAGTGAGATGGTTCTGAAAAGCCCAAAAGCCGCTCAGAGCCGGTGAGGCCGAGGGCTGGGTCCTTGTTTCTGGCTCCATCCAGGATCTGAGTCCCTGGGGATTTGGGGTTGGAGGAAGGGGACACAGAATGACCAGCAAACACCCAGAGGCAAGGGTGGCAGGGACAAGAGGGCTGGCGTATGAGTCCTCAGAGATCCCGGACAGACTTCCGGCGAGAGCAAAGGCGCTGGCCCAGGAGACCCCCACACCTCGCAAACACAGGAGCTCCGCCTCACGTCTGTGCGCCCTGTGACGCCCGGGACCCGCTGATGCGTGTGCGTGTGCGTGTGCGTGCTCTCCGGCTTCCACATCGCCCGGTCACACCTCCTCGAGTGCAGCAGCCTGGCACTTCCGCCTCCAGGTCAGCGAAGGAAGAAGAGCAGGCATCTGCTCGGGTGAGGACGCTGCGGCCCTGGACGGACCCCATGGGGTCACGGCTCCCCGTGTCTGGGGACACGGTCGAGGGTCAACCAAGTGGGCAGACCCAGAAACAAGGACAGCAGCCTGACCGCAACTCGGGGTCCGCGTCAGACTCGGGCAGTTGACGCAGCGATTCCTGGCAGCTGTCCTTAGTGTCCTGGCGACAGCAGCAGGCGGTCACCATGTACGTTCCCGCAGAAATGTCACACGTTGCCCAAACGCTTTGATCTTGTCACAGAGGGGTGTGGTGCTTGGACGTCATTTTAAGACGTGGAGGAAGCCACACCTTCGGTGCCCATGGAGACCGTTAGTTTCTCTTCTGGGATGACCCCAAGCTCACCGTTTGTGGGCCCTGCAGTTGTAGCGACAGGCGGTCCCCTCCTAGAGTCCCCATGCGTGCACGGGCCAGGAGCAACTGCAGTGTACACGTCACTGTTTCAAGTGCAGCAAAGGAAGAAGGAACCTTCAACTTCATAAAAGTCTGTCAACTATGCCTGCCAAGCAAATCCTGATTCCCTGCCACATTTGAGCACCAAGTCAGTAGTGCATTGTGGAGAACGCCAACCCCCTGGGCTGGGACAGGACAGAGCCATGGAGTTAAAACGAGGAGCCCAGGGAGGACTTGCAACAGATGTCCTGTTGCTATGGTAACAGCTGCCAGTGGCCTGTCCTTCTCCAAGAGGAGCCTCCACCAGAACCTTCCCGTCTTTTCCTGAGTTCCCCGAGATGCAGACGGAAAGACAGCCAGACCTGACCATGGCCACTTTGCGGTGCACATGGCACACTCCGCCCCCTCTTGCACCATTGGCGGCTCCCCGGTATTCTCAGGGTGCTTCTCTTGAAGGTCTGGGGCAGGCTTGCATTCTCAGCAGGGCCCAGAGGTGACAGGTGCACTGGGGAACATGGGGCAGTCCATGCCCCTCTGCAGGGACAGCAAGCTCAGCCCCACCGGGCAACCCCCCCTTTTCTCTCCTTTGGTTCCCCAGGATCTGAGCCCATGCATGCAACCTCTGGACTGTTGCGGGATGGCCGAGCTGGCCCACCAGACGGGGCCCACAGTGCATGCATCTAGACCAACTCGTAGGATCTGTGTGTGGAGGGCCCTGAACGTGGGCCAAGCCTCTGCATTAGTGACTGGAAAACTCAGGCCCAGCAGGGAGGTGATGTTCCCCAGCCCAGAGCGGCCTGTTGGCAGGACTGGTGGTTACAGCCGGGGCCTGACTCCTAGGCTGGGGCCCTGGCTGCCTGCTGTCCCTTGCTAGCGCTCTGGGAAATGCATGGAGCAGCACACGAGGGCATTCCTCACCCATGAGACAAATGCACGGGAGCAGAAGGTTCCCGGAGGTCCGAGAGGCCGGAGACGGGGTGATTTGCATTGGGAAAGGGGAGACATCAGCCCTAGACCACGCGGGGAGAGATTTGGAGCAGAGGGAAGACTAGGGCTGACTGAAAGGCACAGTGAATATTTAAACAAACAAACAATTAGAAAAAAAAGACACATTGCCAAGAACGAAGTGTGTCTGAAGTGAGGAAAGCATTTTGATGGGGAGTGACGGCAATGTGTCTTTTACCATAATAAATTTTACAACTTAAACATTCTTCTAATTTTATGATCACCCTGTATTGATCAAGTGTATACAGCCATTCCTGTCAAATAAAAACATTACCGTGCATCCCCATCCACCTTATTCAGAGGATTTGGCACCTTTCGACTTCTGGCTCCTCCCAAAGTCAAGATGACCATGAAGATGAAAAGTTTTGAATCCATTCAGGACACAGAGGCAGCCAGGACAGGGAAGCTAAAGACCGTCAGGAAAGAGGACTCTAGAGCTGCTGCAGGAAGTGCCAAGGACAATGGGAAGAGTGTGTTTGAATCGAGGGGGAGGATTTTAAGGGGGATTCATGACAAGGTATGTTTTACTGTTAAGACATTTAAAAACAATTTTTAAGCATTCACCATATTTTTGATCATGAGTTGTATTAACCAAAAGCAAAAAATTTTTTTTTGGTACCAGGGATTGAACTCAGGACCTTGCACTTGTGAGGCAGGCGCCAGCACCACTGAGCTAAATCCTCGGTCCCCAAAACCAAATATTTGAAAGGAAATTGGAAACATTTCCCCCACCTGGGGTTTGCGAGTGCCTCCCGGGGGAGGTGACCGCTCGGGTGCACGACAGCAGCACCAACATGTGCAGGCCAGCCTCCCTGCCTCTCTCTTACCACTTTTCCTTGTTCTCTGAGACTTTCTCCACAAACCCTCTCCCTACAGGAAATCTGCCCAAAGATAAACTTGTCCATACACCCAACATTGTGAACTGCAGGGATGAGCACCCAGGTTCTGTCTATAGCAGCAAAAGACTAGAAACAGTGCACACCTAAGGGGCCGGCTAACTGTAACACTGTGTTCCCATGGTTTGGAATATTATGCAGCTGTAAAAAGGCATGAGGCAGTCCTGTGCATTCTGATGTGGAGTGACCATCAGTGGATTGCCATGTAAAAATAAAACAAGAGGCATGGGGTGGGGCAAATCCTGTACTAGTGCCTATAGCCTGCTTCTGTTTGTGTGCAAAAGGGAGGTGCACATAGTTATAAATGTGCGAAGTGTAAAAACAGCTCGAGTGACACAGGAGCCAGGTGGCCTCCAGGAGGAGGACTGGAGCCAGCCACCCCCGTGTGGCACTCACAAGGCACTTCACAATGGGGCTGTGCCCTGCACACCTCCTCGGGGCTGCCGTCGGGGTGCAGGTGTCCCGGTAGGGCCTGGACAGGGCGCGCACCACAGTGGGACCCGAGCTTCACTGACAGGAAGCGGATTTGCCCCTGGAAACCCGGCATCGCCCACGCCAAGCTCCACGAGCTCCATTCCCACGCCAGTGCGCTAATTTCTTGAATGAGTGGGAGGAATGCGGTGTAAAGTAACAACAGGTGCAAGGCGTGGTTACAGACACGACAGGAGGCTATGGCTCTCTCATCGTCCGCGCACGCGCGTGCGCACATATATATATATACACACACACACACACACAAGGAACACCCGTGCACAGTGACCACAGCCTGATCACCGGGCAACGCGTGCGCGCACCGTGACCTTTGGAACCACCGCTGTGCACGTGGCTAGTCCCCAGTCCTGAACCCAAACACACACGCAGCCCTTTTTCCAGGCGCTCTTTCTAAAGGGTTTGAGTGTTAAAAACACACACATTCCTAGGACACAAGCACACAACTGAGTGTTGATCTTTTAAAGGAAGGACACTTTCTGGGGTGCAGGGGGTGTGGCTGAGTTATTTCCAGAGCCTCCCCCAGTCTCCAGCTGCTCCCCCTACCCTGGGCCCTCCCTTCCCGCTCTGGCTTCTGGAAGTCACTCAGCACTTCCTGCAGGGCCAGAGCACCCACAGGCGCCTGCCAGAATCCGCCTTACCTCAGATCTCAGGCAGAAACAGCTCCACTTCTATGACTCAAACATTGGGGGACTCAGGTCTCAGCCCCCTAAGTCACTTTGGCCTCGGTCTACTTTGGAAGCATTCACAGCTTCTAGCACTGCATCTGAATCAGAATGACTGCGGGAGTCTCAGCTGGCATTCCACAGGACTGAGACTGTCAGGGGCAGGCGGGGACACCTGCGTGTCACCAAAGGGAAGTGCGCACAGAGCAGCTGCACTTGAGCAGCCACACACATGGCCAGGCAGTCTCCAAATAGCGTCTTATGCAGTTTGCACTGAACAGGATTTTCCAGGCATGGTGGCACACGCCTGCAATCCCAGCACTCCAGAGGCTGAGGCAGGAGGATCACTGCAAGTCTGAGGCCAGCCTGGGGTACACAGGGAGTCTCAGGTCAGCCTGAACTATATAGCGAGACCCTGTCACAAAAAACCAGACCAAAACAAAACAAAAAACATTGAACAGGATTGGGTGTGAATCGTATCTGGGTATCTTCCTGTGTTTCTGCTTTCAGAAACTGCTGGGGCCTCTGTACCACAGGGGAAAAGGTTGTTCTTCCATTTCTGAGTGAAATGTGGGCCTGCAGGGATGGTTCACTGGTGTCCAGCAAGAGAAGCTTGTGAGTCAAACTGCCGCCGAGAGAACAAGGGAGACCGACCTGTGTCAGCTGTCATGGGCGCGGCACTGGGGAGCTTTAGGAACTGAGGAACAGAGTCAAGGTGATGGCAGAGGCAGTGGGGGACGTGGCTACTGATGCCTGGGAGAGGGTCCTGGGGTAATTACAAGGCTGCGGTAAGAGGTTTGATATAATTTGATTGCATGATAATTTTTATAGTTTAGAATGATAATTAAAGGGTACGGATTCTCTTAACCTCGGAGGACGAGAGCCCTAGCCACAGGTCCCCACAGCAGGGGCCTTGTGCCCCACTCCCCCATCGGGTCCTTCTGACCAGCAGACCCCATTTCCTGTTCTCCACTTCCCGCCTCCACCCCACTGGCCAAGCGGGGCAGCAGCGCAGGGCTGCATGCAAGAGCAGCTCCACTCCCCAAAATTCAGTGGAGAACACAGCCACAAAACACACTCTCAGATCTGTCCAAACGGGGCAATCCAGTGTCCACCACCGTATGACCGTGGTACCACAAAGATCACACTGGCTCGTGTCACTGTGTCATCTGTGCCGCGCCATTTTCCATGGCTTTTTACCCTGCAGGCCCATGAAAATTAATGTAAGTCTGACCCTCATGTCGGACATGTTCTATATTTAATAGGGAAAACTGGAAGCAACCTAAGTGCTAAATATGGCACTCGTTAAAGCCATTTAACAGGATTTCCCCATGTGTGGCTCACACACATCCGTGTGCACCTGCACACACACACTCATGGTTGATGAGATGGCTGTGAGATGAACAAGGTTGTTTGTGCAGATGATTTCTTCTTCCATTTTGGTATTTACTGCCAATTTTTCTACAACTCCATGCTACTGAGAACAGTTTCCTTATTACTGTTAGCTTCCTCCCCCTGTGCTGTGGCAGGGACAACCCGCAGAAGAGCCGTGGAGGGCGTGCAGACGGCTGTTTCCGCTGACTCAGCCCATACAAATCTGCGGGGGGCGCAGGGCGCCTCCCTCCTCCAGTTCCACATTCCTGACACCAGCCAGCAGCTCCTCCATTGACTCTCAAGAATGACGAACGCGCACACTCACCGCGGTGAACAAACACGTTCTTGATCTGCCTGCTCACATCTGGGAAGAGACAACGGCAGCAAGAATTGGGTGACTGACCCAGAGTCTGGGATCTGAGTGGCTCTTGGAAACCAGCCAAGCAGAGGTCAAACAAGGTTAAGATTTCAACCTAAGCAGTGCTTTACTTGGCAAACGGGGGAGCTGGTGGGAAAAGTCTCACAAACACACCCCACCGAGATGACGGAGCTCAGCAGTGACCCCAAGTTGCTTCCATTCTGCCCAGTGTTGGTTAAGAGTTCAGGGATTTATCTGACCAACCTACTGCGTACTCTCTGGCTTCCGATATCCTTTGGGGACAGCCTGGAGTAACTTCTGCAAGGCCCCCAGAGTTAGATCCACTCCAGGGCAAACCTGGTGCACCGGGGAGTTCTATTCCAACCGAAACAGCCCCCAGTCCGGCCCACTGTGCGCCCTCACAGGACCAGAGCCTGAGGGCGAAAGCCGAGGCGGAGGGTTCCTGGCTTCATACACTGAACCATGACGCAGAGCTCACCAGCCAAGCACTTCCCAGAAGGAAGCAACTCTTGAGCCAGCGGACACCAAGATGGCAGACTCGCTGGGAACAGGGAGATAAGGCAAGCAGCGGAGGCCAGGCCAGGGCAGGGCAGACTGGCATTCCAGTAACCAGTACGCCTCACTGGAGAAGTCTTCTGAGGCAGAAAACCAGAAACATCGCAAACAATTCCCAGAGAAGGAAGACAGCTCCCAGCGAGGCGGCACACACTTTTCCGCACGCCTTCACGCCTAGACCACTTCTTAGTTTTACACTGATTTTTTTTCCCAAAGGGAATCTTGAAAATTCAGCCCTAACACAGAGCAGGAAACGCACACACGTCACCTGGTGGTGGAGAGAAGAACCGGGAAGCTTTCTCTCACCTCAACCCCAGTGCAACTTAACCCGCTTCCGTTTTATCCTTCATTTCATTCAACCGGTTCAATCTCCTGTGCAAACACAAACACTTCCTTGGGCGGCAAATGGTATCAGAGACCCAAATCATTTCCTGGATAGCACTATTTAGAAAAAACAACAACCAGAAAATACAAAATCTGCGCTGATCTCGGAAGAAGCGTCTTCTCGGGTTCTTACAAGAAACCAACTACTGTGACTCCCGGGTCCGGGACGCCGCTCCTGTCGGATCCGCCCTCTCGGGGGCAGAGTCCGCTGGCCCGGCAGCTGCCCGCTTTCCTTCCAGTCGCTCAGGAACCAGAGGCGCGTGTAGCGGCGGCCGAGGAGGATGTCGGGGCGTCGGCCTCCGTTTTCTTGCCCCTTTGGGGCCCGGGCGGAGATGGAGCGGTGGCCCCGCCGGCCTCCGGGGCGCGCTCGTCCCCAGGGCGCCGGCAGGAGCTCCGGGCGGCTCGGGCGCCCTCCTCCTCCCCCTCGGCGCGCGCGGGGTCCCTACGCGAGACCCCAGTGCGCCAGCACCGCGCCAGGCCAGAGGGCGGGGGCCGCGCCGTCAGGGGCCCCGGGCGACCAGGGCCCTCCGTGCCCGAGCCTCGGCGCCTGCCCCGACCGGAGCCCGCGCTCACCCGCCCGGCGCTCACCCGTCCCGCGCTCACCTGCCCCGCGTGCCGCGCCCAGCACCAGCGCGCCCAGCAGCGCCACGGCCACGCTGCAGTCCAGGCCGCCCATGGCTGAGCGCGCGGCCTCCGTGCAAGGCGAGGCCCGGATCGGAGCTGCTAGGCGGGTGCAGCCGGCCCCGCCCCGCCCCGCTCACCTGCTCTCTTGCCAGCCCCGCCCCGCTCACCTGCGCTCTCCCCTGCCCCGCCCGCCCGCCCGCCCAGCTCCGCCTCCGCCCAGCTCCGCCTCCGCCCCCCCAGCTCCGCCTCCGCCCCGCCTCCGCCCCATCCCGCGCGGCCGGGTGGCTCGGTTCCCTCCGGGCCGCTGCGTGGGCAAGGGCTTGTCCCCACCTCCCCGGACTTCGTCCTCTTTCTCAAGGGGTGCAGGGGTCCCCCTTAGGGGAAGCCAACTCGACTTCCCTTGGGCGCCCCGTTTTGGAGGGAACGCGTACTTGTGGATTATGGAGCCTTGAGCTTCCTCCTCCGCTCTCTCTGCTGCCTGACTTGGGCCAGGGCTTACCGGACTTTACAGCTGGGGCTAGGGCGGCTCTTTGCTTTGCTTTTCTTTCTCTTTTCTTTTCTTTCTCTCTCTCTCTTTCGTTTTTTCTTTCTCTTTTCTTTCCTCTCTCTCTCCTCCCTCTCTTTCCTTCTCTCTCTTCCTCTCTGTTTTTGGACGGGGACATGCTGAGGATGGAACCCAGGGCCTCCACACCGAGCCTCCCACTCCCCCATTAATTCTTTTGGAAGCAGGTCTCACTCAATTGCTAAATTACCCCGGCTGAACTCAAACTTTACATCCTCCTGCCTCAGCCTCCCAGAGTGCTGGGATTACAGACAGCGCCACCACACCTGGCCCTAGGGCCCCTCTTTGGGGCTGCAGCTTGCTCCAGGCATTGTACCTGCTCTATTGTGGGTGCTCACAGCAATCCTCCCAGTAGTTGGACAGACTTGCTGACCAGGTGCCTGGTCAGGGTCCCAGGCAGTGACGACACAGGCGGCTTTGGGGCAGCTGAGCTCCAGTGGACACAATGGAGCTGCTGTATTGACTCCTAGGCGGCAGGATGGACCCAGGGCCTCACTCACCCAGGGAAGTGCTCTACCACTGAGCCACACCGCCAGCCATGTTCAATGTTTAGAGCTTGGACAGGGCCAAGAGAAGAAACCGAGTCAGGCCCAGACAGTGCCCTAGTTCAGCTTCAAGGAGCCCTGTGTGTGTCCCCCGCCAGCCGTGAATGAGACATCGTGCCTCGTGACAAGCGCTGGCCTCCTGGTCGTGGTGCTAGGCTCCGCTCCCCGCAGGCGTGACCGTGTGGCCTTTTTCCTGGTGTTGAGCTGCCTCGAGGTCTCCTTCCACCTGCCAAGCCTGGATCCCAGGGCAGGTGACGATGGCTCAGGAGTTCTCGGCTGGCAGACCAGGATCCCTCCGAGATGACTGTACCTTGGGCTACCTGTGCCCGTGAGTAGCCAGGGCCCGGCCAGGGTCACCAGAACAACCTGGAGGCCCGGATTGGGAAGGAGGGTCACTTCACAGCATGGGCCTCCGGCCTCGCCACAACTTTTCTTCCATTCCTGGGGAAACTGAGCCTCTCCCGCTGCCCCAACCCTGCCCTTACTGTCAACAGAGGCGAGAAACCAGGAGCTCCGCCCTTCCCTCCTGTGTGCTGCAGTCCTGCCATGGAGGGCCGGAAACCAGGGGGCCACAGTCCCTCAGTCCCAGTCCACTTCTCTCTCTGGGCAGATCTGTGGGGAAACTGAGGCCCAAACAGGAGCAAGAAGATGAGAAAAGCAGGGAAGGTCTTGGTTTTTCTCCCCAGAGTTGAGGACAAATTGATGAGGAGAAAATCTTGGGACAAACCTAAATACCCTTTAAGAATGCTTAGCCTCACAGGAGGGTAAAGGCAGGTTCAAGGTTTAATTTCCCCCTAATTCTGAGATATCCCAGCATGTTTTCCTACATCCACAACACTGAGCATGTTTCCAGCACATATGGCAATTGCCACCACGACCATAGCAGAAAGGCAGTGTGTTGAAATCAAAGTGTCAGAGATATTG